TGGAGCCACACGCAAGTGTGAGTAACGATCCAAGAGCAAGTCTTACCCAACACTATTCCGATGATATCCCGGACGTCAGTCTGAGCGAGATTAGAATGGCTCTCCAGCACCTTAAAAACGGCAGGGCCCCAGGCGAGGATGGAATTACAGCGGAGCTTCTGAAAGCGGGTGGAACACCGGTACAGTTAGAAGTTCTTCTTACGAGGTGTACTGTGATATACAGTAGGGCTACGATGGCTATTCGAGTACAGAACCAGAGTTTGAAACCTATCCAACTGCAGGGAGGTGTAAGACAGGGTGACGTTATATCAGCGAAACTCTTCACCGCTGCGTTGGAAGACGTTTTCAAGCTACTGGACTGGAAAGGATACGGTATTAACATCAATGGCGAGTACATCACTCACCTTCGATTTGCCGACGATATAGTCCTTATGGCAGAATCGCTGGAGGACCTTAGCACTATGCTCAGTGACCTCAATGGTGTCTCCCAACGGATAGGTCTTAAGATGAACATGGACAAAACAAAGATCATGTTTAATGTCCATGTCACACCTATGCCGGTAGTTGTTGGGAGCACTATGCTTGAAGTTGTTGACGAGTACGTTTACCTGGGACAAATAGTCCGACTAAATAAGTCCAGCTTCGACCGAGAGGTCAATCGACGGATTCAACTCGGCTGGGCAGCGTTCGCGAAATTACGACACATCTTCTCGTCAGGTATACCTCAATCTCTGAAAACTAAAGTGTACAACCAGTGCGTGTTGAGTGATGACTTACGGATCTGAGACGTGGTCCTTTACTGCTGGCCGTATGAGGACGCTTAAGGTCGCTCAGCGAGCTATGGAGAGGGCTATGCTCGGAGTTTCTCTGCGTCATAGACTCAGAAATGAGGATATCCGCAGTAAAACCAGAGTGACCGACATAGCCCAACGGATTAGTAAGCTGAAGTGGCAATGGGCCGGCCATATAGCTCGAAGAACCGATAACCGATGGGGAAGAAAGGTTCTCGAGTGGCAGCCTCGTACCAGTAGGAGTAGTGTAGGGCGAACCCCCTAGATGGAGTGACGACCTGGTAAGACATGCAGGAAGTCGGTTGATGCAGGTGGCTCAGGACCGTGCTTTGTGGCAATACTTGGGGGAGGCCTATGTTCAGCAGTGGACTTGTGAAGGGCTGTAATTATGATGATGATGATGATGATGATGAATGGAAATCCTCCATAAGTCTGCCATTGTCTTAACATTGTGGCCGATGAAGGAAAAGGGGAGATCTCCCGCCGGGCAAGGTGTTATGCCCGGGGAGCGGCCAACGCTCCGTGTGAAAGTTCGGAGATGTTCTATATATACTGTTTATGATTCGGAATGTTGATAGCGCGATTTAGGCTTCGGTGTGTTTTCGCTTGTGGCGGCGACGGCAGCGCCGCTACATCACCCCCCTGCTCAGACCGGAGGTCGTTAGTGCAGCCTTGTTGCCGACGAATGTGCAAGTGCCAGTGGATTGCCTTGTAGTCTGCGGTGAGTCGAGAAGAAGGCAAGTAATCTGCGAGAGTGCCGTGAAGCAGAGGCGAGCAGTAAGGCTCAGAGCCGTGCCGAACACTGTATAGCGCAGAGAGTAGCTTGAAGGAACAGGAAGCATTATTATTCCAGTGCTGCGATGAACCTTGTGAAGCTAGATGGCTTGCAGGATATGAAGACTGCAGACGATATCTGCTTGGGAGCGAATGGGTGGGGTATTCAATGACGATGATGAAGCTTGAAGTTTCCGAAGGTTGTTGGTTGCGTGTTCAGATCACGTCGGTATCACCACTGTGGCCGATGAAGGAAAAGGGAGATCTCCCGCCGGGCAAGGTGTTATGCCCGGGGAGCGGCCAACGCTCCGTGTGAAAGTTCGGAGATGTTCTATATATACTGTTTATGATTCGGAATGTTGATAGCGCGATTTAGGCTTCGGTGTGTTTTCGCTTGTGGCGGCGACGGCAGCGCCGCTACAACATCAATAGGTTTAAAATATTTAATGATATATTTGGCAATACTCTACGGAATTTAAAAGTACTTGAAAATTTAAAACACAAGATTTATCAGTTTCTTCGTATTTATTTTTACTGCTTATTTCTAGAGGCACAGTTATAAAAATCTAAGCTTGAAACTAGATTAAAAATAAATTTATTCAATCATTTTCAGTAAAACTAGTAGATATGTCGTTGTTTATATTAATTATTATGAGATTTTCGATTATGCAGACAAAATTAATGTCTCTTTCAAAGTCATCCATTATCATTTTTTTGGTTTTTTCTACCAATTTTGCCCAATCATCCTTTGTGACAATGGCATATACTTCTTTTATAGCATTGGTTGACAAACGAGCACACAGTCCACCTGATGTTAAGTGGATGCTATGGCTCATAGACATACATATTTATTCTTAATTCAGAATCAAAATGCAAATGCGTTGTCAGCCCAGAGGCTTAAGATGGAATGCCTCGATTCCAGTAAAAAGGGTCTCCGGTTCTTTACACTCACCATACGAAACATAGCAGCATTATGCTACTATTTTACGCTGGTATCCTGTGAGAGCGTGGTCCTGCCCCAGTTGAGCCGACCCATTCGTACTACAACTATAGTATAGATGTAGCGTGGCTCTACCACGTACAAAAAGTTATTATAGAAGAAACAGTCTAAAAAGAACCGAGTCACAAAATAAGAAGACAAACAAAAAATTACAAAATTACGCACAGTAAGCTCTGGAAACAGAAACTTTTTTATTCAATATAGATTATGAATAATACTTATTGAACGTCACTTTTTTCATTTACCACTTGTTCGCAAAAAAACCTTTGTCCTGGGAAGAACCAGCAAGAAACCCAACGGGGCTAGTTTAAAAAAAATAAGAGCTTATAATCATGCGGGCTATAATTAACAACACAAAACAAATCAGAAATAGCTTGGTAGCGATCACCCTTCCCAGTAGTTATTATCATCCATAAGTTCCTTAATATTGAAATTACCCGTTTTATACAAACTTAGTTTAATAAAGTTTTTAAACTATGTGTACTTACGTCAAATTTAGTATATTTTCTGGGATTTTGTTGTAAAAGCGTATAAATCGCCCCAAAAATGAATTACTGACTCTGTGGAGTCGAGTAACTGGTACCGAAATGGCGGGATATTGAAATTATGTAGTGGTTATTTTAGCACGGCCTTGTATATGATTTTTGCCTACACAAATTTGTTAAAATTTTTTTGATTCATGTAATTTAAGGAATTTTGAAAATAAAAATTAAATTAAACAAATAATACAATAAAAAATTAATGATTCGATTATTTGAAAATTTTTACCGATTATTTGAATATTTTGCCGATCATTCGCATAACAACGAATTTTAATTATCCAAACACTACGGTAATATACATAGCGACATATCATTGAAACGACGTCAAGTAAAAAAAAAGTTAATAATGGTTATTTTTAATATTTTGCTTTGTTTAAAAAATTCAAATTTAAATTAGTGGTAAAAACTATACACGTTGTAATGAAATATAGATAACTTCATAATTCTTCGGATTTACGTAAAAGGTTATTTTAAATCCTGTAAGTACGCTGGTGCAAAGTTATTGCGGAATGATTAATGTGAAACGTCAAAAGGTATTTCTTAGATTTGGTTGATAGTATTTATTAATCCAAACTGGCCACGAAAAGGACGGAAATCCCCCGTAATGATCATTATAGTCTATTAAAAGTTCACTCCTGAAATAGGCCTCTGTTTAGGTTGTCTTATGTATATGCAGTAGTTTCCACGCTTGGCAGACAATTTAGCAACCGCAGTTTTTTTATAATTTTTAGTTGTTATCAGGAAGATCACCTACGGGATGATAGCGGTAGTGAATTATCGGTAGTAATTATGCCACCTCTGAGAAACATTTTGTTTAACTTATTTTATAAACTTTTCAACTGATACCTCACACGACAGTATAAAAAGTCGACTTCCGCATTTTAAAACTTTACTAAAATTCAATCATTTAAGTAAAATGCATAAAACACTACAAAAGTGTAACCTCTGTGACAGAAACTGAGGTGATTCTATATGTGCCTTAGACTAAGAACTCACGGAGCGATATTTAGCCGCGCCTGCACCGGTAAAAGACCTGCTGCAATTTCACTTAAACTAAGTGGCGTGTGTTGGCCGTGGTTGTGTCGCTCTAAAAAAAGTGCGATCTATTTTTAACCGATTAAAAAAAGAAGGTTCTATAATCGAGGCTTATGTTTTTTATGTATGGCAAGCGATTTCTCGGAAACAGCTGAACCGAAAAAACTGCTTTTTTTTTAAATTAAATAGGCTAAACTACCTAACTTACTAAACTAAATACTAACTAACTGAAGGTTCCACAAAAAATTAAAGAACGAATTCCTAACGGAAGAAAAATGAGATTATCCTAAAAATAGGATAATTTCCAATGCAACTGATTTAACGAAGTTCTTCTTATTATTAACTGACTAAATTTCAGGGGTTCCATAAAAATTTAAAGAATGAATTCCTAAAGGAAGAAAAATGGGACTATCCTAAAAAGAGGATAATTTCTAATGCAACTATTTAAACGAAGTTCTTCTTATTAAATGGTTCCTACGTTTTATTAGAAGTTGGTTCATATTGAATTTCAAACTGTGTATAACTTTATATTTTAAAATTAAGGTTTAATGTAAAACGTAGTGATTATATATACTCTGTGGTTTAATTATTCAACAATGACATTTACTGTAAACAATAACCTGAGACATTGCTGTAACTGTCTGCCAAATAATAACAATGGCAACAGTATACCATCTTTTACCAACTGCAAAATGTTATTACGAAGAGTTAAATAAACGTTCAAATCTTGCTGAAGCCCAACGACATAAGCGTTATTGTGCAGTCGTTCTTCTGCAGCGTGTAGTTCGGGGATATTTGATAAGGAAATATTTTGCATGGCTTGCAAAGAAGGCTACGGTTATCCAATGTGCATTTAGAATGCATAGAAGTCGTAAAATATATAGAAAAGCTCTGATACGAGCGGTTCTGATTAAACATGCTAAAAGATATAACCAGGCTGCAACAAAGATACAGGTGGGTCCTACAAAAAATGTCGATATCGTTTAACTTTACTAAATTTACTTTAACACTATTACTTGCCCACAGGCTTTATGGCGTGGCCATTTTTCAAGACGTGAAAAATTTTGTTATTATTCCTATCGAAAATGGCTTAAAATTGTTAAAGAACGTGGAGAGAGACGAGCTGCCGAAGCTGTTGAGTTCGCAATTAGAAGTAAAGTGGATGATTTAAGAATTCTAGAAGAAGAAGCTCGGAAATGGCTTGCATTTGTTGTTTTCAAGTTACATCATCTTTTAAGAACATTTGTTCGCGCGGGTATATATTCTGAACCAGGTACAACTGAGCTATCAGAATTTGAAAATCTTTTGAATTCAATCCGTTACACAGAATATATGAAAAGACTTAAGAAGAAGTACGACGAATTTGTACGAAAACATAAATCGCAGTTCTCGAACAAAAAGCTGTTTCCGATTATTGGAAATGGATCAGATTATTGGTATCTTTCTCTACCTGAGATGTATGAATTGACTACACCGGTACAGAAAGTCAAAGATACTCGCCACAGTTTAACGCACCATGGTCACAGCACAAAAAGCCATTCCTTTGGCGAAAGGTCAGATCACCTTTGCCCTGTGGCGATACGGGTATATTACAGTCTACAAATTCATCTTCACATGACCCTTTTTTGAAAAACATCCAACTTCGAAAAGATCCACGCTTTCATCTTTATGTAAAGCATTACACTCCTCAACCTAATATTTTTAATTATGTCGATTATCATATTAATGTTGTGTTAGTAAGAAAACGATCTATTCAAAAGGTCGACAAGGAATAACGTCAGCTTAATGTAGTTCCACTTTTTGTTCACAATTTTATGATGGACCAACAACAATTTTTTACCCAAACACTTGGTTGAAAACATGTTTCGTATTTTTCTTTTATTTTTCTTGTTCGGAAATCCGTAATCAGGCTGCTAAGTTTGGAAGGGTCGTCCGGATGTTGCGAGCCGCGAGCCTTTTGTTGTTTCGCTATTGTTGTTGTGAATTTTACACTTGTAATTTATTTCAGGAAACGCCTTGGTGAGAAAGAAATTACATTAAACTCTTGAAGGTAAAATGTGTTTTGTAAATTAACATTTCATTTTAGATAGCTTGAGTGTTTTTTTACCTTACAATCACTATTATTATTTATTTGGAAATTATTTAGATTGCGATAATCAGACAGCTTTTGATTACTAATAGTTAACTCTGTGAACGACTGTGAACAGCTATCAGCGGTTAACCGCAGTCGAGTTGGTTTTTAGCCGACATTACGAAATTATTTATACTGGGTGATTTTTTTATCATCTGGAAAAAAGTTGGGTGTAACAGGTGAAAGGAATTGAAGCCTATGGCACTGATATTTTATGACTTTTTTACTTTACATTAAAATACCTATTATGAAATTTATCTATCAATAAGTACCTTACTTATCCTAAGCTATTTTCCAATACCGAATCAGTATTAATTAGACAATATTCATAACAAAGAAGTCGTTATTCGTTAATATTAAACCATTCCCGTTATTAAAAAATGTATAAATTGGTTTAAAAATAAAATTCAACGTATTTGCTCTTACTATAAAAAGTGGTAAAAACTAGTCTATAACATAGTCTGTGGCTTAAAGTGGAATATTTTTCATGAAAGATGTCCTGCGCAAATATGGGAACTATAATGGAGATTGACAGTAAAGTGTCAAATTCGCGAAGACAGTGGCGTCGCACCTAAGGGACTTTTTTAAACCATAGTTTGAATCCAATGCTAACAATAAACTGCTTTTTGTAATAAGGTGGATTAGGTATATAAATTTAAATAATTGTTTTTAGTCAATAAAAGACAGATTCCGAAATAGATTAATATAGTGTAACATTCTTAAACATGGTTCATATTCGAATTGCTATGTTGTTGCTGAGTAAAATAATCTCGTACATCTTATGAAGCGACCGAGGAAAACTGAAACAAGATATAACTTGAGTATGTTTGTTTGAATGCTGTAATGAATTAATTTTATTCGATTTTATTTTAAAAGAAAAACAGATATTTTGATTTTAAAAATAAAAGTCAAACTTAGAAAACCCAGTATTCATTTTAAGTATTTTAATGTAAAAAGTAAAAGCAAATAATCTAAAAGTAAATTAGTACCGCCACACGTCTTAAACCTCATTTGTCTTACAACGCCCGTTTGACTCGACAAATTTATTAGGGTCAAAATAATTCAGGTTGTGGGTTTCTGAACCGAATCCTTATTGCAGACCCGTCTTAAGAGGGGTAACCATTTGTTAGACGTTTAATAATAGTTGACCCACTTTACTTATGTACCTACCTGAAAAGCTGTTCTGAAAGGGTGTGATTTTTAAAAATATAGATTATTCAATTTCTTATATATTTTCGTAATATAGGAATCGAATTACTTACTATTTCACATCTAGTCTAGTAGAGTTTTGGCGTTCATTAAAAGTTCAAAAGTCGGTAGATCTAATTCTGTACAGAATTCGGTTTTGCGAATTTGTATTTCAACTGGAACTGTCAGCCTCTCGCTCTGAGTGTGTTTGGCACATGAATAATGTATGGAGTAAATTTGCAAGTGTTTCAATTTACACCCGCCTACACTCGGCGCCGTTGATACACACCCTAGAGCTGTTGAAGTGCAAAAAGAAAACAACGAGTGGAGGCACACGGGCGGGGACAAGTGAACGCACCCACATTAGCACCTAGTAGTTTTTCTATTCATAATGTTCTAGCTCTCACTGATGTTTTTTGAAATTTTCTCAAATATCTTGCCTAGCCTAGCACTAGGGGTTTCTCGCATTACAAACCATGGTGGGTGGTGAGGCTTCATTGACTTTGAGATGTAGTATTCAAAGAGTGGCCTTGATAAAATAAATTCTAAATTTTGGTATAAGTCGTACACGGGGACAGGATACAGCTACGGTAGGTTGAAGTTTTGCTAAAAAAATTGTTATAATTTTTTTTAATTAGTAAGTTTACAATTAATTTAGATAATTCGGTCCACAATTGCAAAACATTTGACTGCATCGTTTGAGTACGCGAATTCAAACCCCGTACTGAACAACTAATTTCAGGTATGTGTTTGTGCAATTAATGTTCGTAAAACGTATCCATTATGCATGAGAAATTAGTTGCTATTGCGATGTAGTTTTAACTGTTTTTTTTTTTTTTTCAAATAAAAAAAAATATTATGACATTTATTTTTTGAAAAAGGCTGCTAATAAAATTTTATAGAGCTCCAAGGTCTAAACCTTTTATACCATAAGGAATATATGTGAACCCTATTCATTGAAAATTATTTCTATGTCTTTTATGTAACAAAGGCCTATTTACCGCCACAATGAATAGCCCAGTCAAAGTATTATATGTTTTAATCGTTTAATGTATTTACTGTTATTTTCATTTATTTATTCTTTATTGTACACCAAAAAATTTAAACGTCATCAACATATAACTTCTCCCTGTCATAAAAAAGAAACCGATTCTTCGATTATTTAAATGCTCTAATAAAAGGAAAATAAACTTTAAATTTAATCAAACCTATGAATTTTTTATATTACACAATTTAAATAAAAATATAAAAGATTATCGCCAGATTTACCTGCGTACATTTTTACTACTACAATACGGTGAGAAAACACCAAGAACCAAGAAGCTTATTAATATACTACACATTATGTTTTTACACACGCAGAACACGATTAAGTATTTTATTATAGCCGTGACAAATTAGTGCACAGTTCGCCTGATAGTGAAGGGATGCTGTAGCCCATAGACATCCACACCTATTTTCCATTAGGAATAAAAATGCAGATTCACACCTGAGTGGTCACCCTGGAGACTAGGGCGGAATGCCTCGTTTCCGGTAAAAAGGTTCTCTGGCACAAAGGGTTTTCGATTTTCCTACGAAACATATCTGCATTAAATTACTATTTTACGCTGATATTTCGTGAGAGCGTGATCCTTTCCCTGTTCGTGCAACAACAATAATACAGCTGTAAAGTAGATTTCAGACTACGCTATAATGTAATAGTATATAGCTCATAGAACAACAATATCGCGCACCATACATTGTTATGGACACGTTCACACTGTACTGTACTATATATTATTGACTTTGTATGGTGCGCGATTTTGTTGTGTCATGGTATACTATATGCTCTAAATTATAGCGTAGTCTGGAATCTACTTTACATGCTAAAATAATCTTAGAACATAATAACATGTCTAATACTGGTATTTTAATATCTACAGTTCACGAACACCTCTCCCCCAATAATATCCTATATTTTTATTACACACTCTCCCAATAATAGTTATATGTAGGTGATCACAAGAATTACTCCTATATATTCTGCAATACTCTGTTACGTAACGTACGTTACGTTACAGGTACGTTACGTCTTGTATATTCTGTTAGGTTACAATTTAAAACGCTTAGAAAAAAACATGAAATTCTCACAGAAGAACTGACAAGAAACTCTGGAATAATTTTTAAGATATATTACAATTACATTTACAACCTATTATAAAATTATTATAATGATAAATATCTGTTATTAGTTTGGTCTATCAATTGGCGTAAACCGTGTAGAGGCGACAGAAGGAAGCAGCATCTTCCTGATAACAACTGAATATAATAGAAAACTGTGGTTGCCAAGCGGGTGCTCAGCGTGGCAAGTATGGCAAAATCTCCTCTAGTGGCAATTTACGGGGGAGGGGGCTATATTCAGCAGAGGAGTTTTGTAGATTTAACTAATGAATGGGATGTTGCTTTGTATAATATTTATATGAAGAATTTGTCTACTATTTTGAATTTAGAATAGTTTTTGTAAGTTACATAATACATATGAGAAACTGAATACACAAAGGACTATCTACACAGAAGGAAGAGGCAGAGTGGTCGTCTTACCAACGTTGACGGTCAACCTCCACTCATCCAGCCATGGTGGCCACAGGTCCAGTAGACAGCCAGCTGCATCCTGGCAGTGGCAATATAGGCTCTTCTGGATGAGGTGAAATAGGCGCTACCGTCCAGATACAGCGCCAGCTCTACGTCGTTCTCTCACTCGCGCAGATGTCTTGCCAGAGTTAGGATATCGGTGGATAAACTGCGTGCAGGACTGGAGACAGACAGCTGCCCTGTGGGATGCCGGCTCTAAGGGGTCTTGCTGCGGACACGGCGTCCTCTACACAGACGTAGAACTTTCTATCTGCGAGGTATGACGGCACTAGCCGCAACATAGCAGGAGGGTCTGATATTCTAGCTTATAGAGTAATCCAGAGTGCCACACTTTGTCGAACGCCATCTCTATTTCGAAAAAGACGCCCAACAATGCTCGGCCGCAAGGTAGTACAGCACCCTGGTCAGTTGTGTGGCTGTCGAGTGATTTCTGAGCATCTTAATTTTTTTTTATTCGTTTACCTACGTAACTTTATGTACTTAATCATAAGATTACAATGGTTGGATTCTCATAAAAAGAATGTAATTATAAAAGATGTTAACGTAACTTAGCTAAGACCCGAGTGAAAATTAAAATTCATATGTCCTATCTAGTTTTAAGAGCACCTCTCGCCCTCTGTCATTTGCATGCACTATCGCCGTCATCCCTAATTCTTACATCAATACCTCTTTACTGGGAAAGATACTACTGGTGATAGTACGACACATGTTTTGCCTTTAACAAAGCATCACCAGGAGTAATAGATTCTGCGATGGCTGAACATTTAAATACCCATACTACGTTTTCAATGGTCTTTTACAGTAAAAATATTTTAAAATAGTGTAAATAATATATTGCCTACGAATCTAACTGAAATCTTACGTAGCGTGTGTATAAACAAAAATAAACATACTCAATGTTTTCATTACAGACTATCACAAAAAAGTTAAACTTAAAGGTACAACCTATATGTCCCACACAGGCCTCCTCTCGTTTCTCAGAGAGTTTTAGGGCAAGGTAATGTCCAGTGTCCACCGTGCTGCCCCAATTCGTGTTGGCGAACTTAACATGTCTCCGAAATATTTTTTTCTTATTTCCCACACATACGGGATGTTCCT